TGTTTTTTAACTTTTAAATAATTGAATAATAAAATGATGTACTGCTTAGTTCCATAAAAATGACTAATCGAGTGGAGTCTTGACTTTAATGATTTATTTGACAAGAAAAAAAAAAAAAAGTTTTCATATAGAGTACGATATGGTAAAATCAATGATGATGCTATAAATATTATGAATTTTATGGTGGATGTCCACTCACATATGATTTATATCACTCCATCTCTCCATTAATCAATTAATTTTATATCACTCCATCTCTCCATTAATCAATTGCTTTCAAGCTTTTTTTTTTTTTTTTAATCAAGATATATAGGCTAGTTTGTATGCATTTCAACTAATCTACGGAGTATATTGAATACCCTACAAACTCAAAGAACTAAGTAAGTTACAATATTATTGTGGTAGGGGATCCCAAGGTTTAAATCTAAGAACTCTTTTTAACCATGTTTAGCTGCAAAGCAGTACTGTATACTCTATTTTGCAGAGGAAGAAAATGGTTTCTGTTAAGTAAAATTCACATCAACTGNAGTGGGGAAATTTAATAAACTTAAAAAGTAAAAAATCTCCTATTAAAAAAAATGTTTAAATAAATTGGGGCCCTGAAGATGAAGTGGCAAATAATTGCCCTCACGTTACTTACTGCCACTTGCTGACTTGGTCTTGCCGCCAGCTCAACTTGTCTCCAAATACCCAATTAGATTTCACCCCTAATACCTGGGTCCTACCCTCCATCTATTTTACTTTTTTGCTCAAATACCCTTCTTATTTTTCATTATTACTCTATTTCCATTATAATTTTATAGACTTCTGTTCATGCCTTGAACTTGAACCCATTCATCTTTATTTATACTGTTTGTTTTTTAACTTTTAAATAATTGGATTAATAATAAAATGACGTACTGCTTAGTTCCATAAAAATGACTAATCGAGTGGAGTCTTGACTTTAATGATTTATTGACAGGAAAAAAAAAAAAAAAAAAAGACTTTTCATAAAGAGTATAGACCACGATAGAGTAAAATCAATGATGATGCTATAAATATTATGAATTTTATGGTGGATGTCCACTCACATATGATTTATATCACTCCTCTCCACTAATCTATTAATTTTATATCACTCCATCTCTCCATTAATCAATTAATTTCAAGCTGTTTTTTTTTTTTTTTTTTAATCAGAGTGTCTAAGCTAATTTACACTTCTCAATTAATCTATGGAGTCTATTGAATATTCTCTAAACTCAAAGAATCATATAAGCTGTAATATTACTATGGTAAAGGGTCTCAATGTTTAAACCTAAGAACTCAAGAAATAGAGCAAACCCCCTTAACCATCAGGCTAACCTTTATGGTTAATTTCAAACCCATTTGCAGCCCTATTATGTTCTTTCATTATTATTGTAAACTTTGGTGAGCCTATATAAGAAGGTTTCTCACCATATATATTAGACTAAGGTCAAAGTGAAAGAGGAAAGTGTGAGATTAGAATTTCAGTCCAAAAAGGAAGAAAATGTCGAGCTTTATCACTTTATGATTCCTTGTCAGGATTCCTATCAACCAAAGGGCGAGTTTTCCTAAACCTTAACCTCTTCTCTTTTTAACCATGTTTAGCTGCAAAGCAGTACTGTATACTCTATTTTGCAGAGGAAGAAAATGGTTTCTGTTAAGTAAAATTCACATCAACTGTATCGTAGCAAAAGCACTTGTGGACATAAGCAAATAATAAGAAATAAGAGGGCAAAAATCAAAAGCACTTAAAAAGCTTCTAACAAAAGCTAAAATTCAACTTTCACTATGCAAACATAAGCAAGATGAAGATTCGAATCTACTTCTCGGAACATTCTAACACAAAATGCGAATCAAACGGCTTATATACATTAAATTCCACTAACCTTTACAAAATTCCAAGCATAATTCCAGTTTCCAACAAACCTTAATAATACCACCTCTCGCCAATTAAGCCTCACAACTCACCTCCTTCTGTCTCTTTTCTCCCGCAAAACACCACTTCAACCATTACTCTCCGCCGGAAAAATCCAATTTTCCAGTGGTGGCAACATAACTTAACTGTTATTTTCATCTGGGTTCTCTTCCTTTTTGTACTTTATAGGGTAGAAAAACAAGTTTTAGTACCGTGATGACGGTGGCAACGCCGAAGAAGGCTGCTTCGATTACAGAAAAGGTGTGGAAGAAAGTCTACGGGAATTATAGCGCCAGCAGTGGTGGCGCGAATCATCATAATAAGTGGTGTTCATATGAAAGTGAGGTTGATTTTTATGAAGATGATGATGAGACCACCATGGAGCTCATGCAGATTGGTGCTGAAAGGACTAAAAATGTGTTGATTCTTATGAGTGATACCGGTGGAGGTCATCGAGCTTCCGCTGAAGCCATTCGTGACGCTTTCAAAATTGAGTTTGGCGATGAATACCGGGTAAATTTTTTTTCTTGATTTTCTTCTTCCTGATGTCTCTGCTCTTTATTTTTTCTTGGTTTGAAGGTCTTGGGTATTGTTAAAGAAAAGCCAATTCTATACTGAATATGTGAAGAGTATGCCATTTATTCATTCATTTCTTCTAGTTTTCTTGGCTTAACGTTCAAGATATTTTACTTTTTTTATTGTTTCTTGTGGAGCTTGGAGGAATTTGTCAGTTAAATTATTTTATTTCAAGATCTTCCAATTGTGATTGGCATAGTGTTGTTTCAGATAATTGTGAAGGATGTGTGGAAAGAATACGCGGGGTGGCCATTGAACGACATGGAGAGATCATACAAATTCATGGTGAAACATGGACAGTTGTGGAAGGTAGCATTTCACAGCACCTCTCCTAGATGGATTCACAGCTGGTATCTTGCCGCTATGGCTGCCTACTATGCCAAGTATGTTTTCCTTTCAAGAACAATTTTTTTTTTTTTTCTTTTTTTTTCTTTTTTTTTTTTTTTACCTTTGGAAAATTTTATTGCTAATTGCAGATTATTAACTGTTTGCTGTCTGTTTGAAGATTCTTTTAATAGTTTAGTATTATATGTCTTGATATTTTAATTTTTTAACCAACCTGTATTAGAATATGAATCTTGCAATTGAATATTGGAAGCTTTCATGACTTAATTAAACATTGTTTCTCCACTTTAACCTTTTGTATTTGTCTTCTTTCATGGCAATGCTTCTTTATTATCCACTTGAAACTTTTGACCAACTGTGCAAGAATTGTTGTTTGCAAAGATGAACTATTACATAGGCTGAATGTTTGAGTATGTAAAATCTACTCTAATTTAGTGCGGAGGAAGCATCTAAACTTTGTTTTATTGCATGATTGAAGGGAGGTGGAGGTTGGTTTAATGGAGTACAAGCCGGACGTTATCATAAGTGTTCATCCTTTGATGCAACATATCCCTCTGCGGGTTCTTAAATGGCAAGGTCTACAGAAGAAAGTGATTTTTGTCACAGTTATTACAGACCTTAATACCTGCCACCCGACATGGTTAGTTATTGAAGCCATGTCCGATTTTCTTCTGTCCATAAATAATAGCATGCCCTATATGTTGACATTGAGTTTGGTGTCAGGTTTCATCCCGGGGTCGATAGATGCTACTGCCCATCACAGGAGGTAGCAAAGAGGGCTTTATTGGATGGCCTAGAAGAGACTCAAATTTCTGTTTTTGGCTTGCCCATTCGACCTTCTTTCGCCCGTGCAGTTCTTTCCAAGGTGGTTGATTCTCATTTACATTCATTCTTTTGCTTTATAGAAGATAGCTGTTATGTATTCTTGCTTAGATGAAATCTAGTTCTAATTTATTTTATTTCGTTCTTTGATTGATTCCTTAGGATGATTTACGACAAGAACTTGAAATGGACTCTAACTTGCCAGCAGTACTACTGATGGGAGGTGGCGAAGGGATGGGTCCTGTCAGGAAAACTGCAAGGGCTCTGGGAGAATCTCTGTTTGATAAAGAAAGCGGGAAACCAATGGGGCAGTTGATTATCATCTGTGGCCGTAATAAAACTCTTGCCTCTTCACTGCAATCTGACGAATGGATGATCCCTGTTAAGGTAATTGCTTTTCTAGTTGAATCTATCAGATGCAAGACATATAACACTTACATTGCATAGACATTCAACATTCTTTTTTATCGTTGCAGGTTAGAGGGTTCGAGACACAGATGGAGAAATGGATGGGCGCTGTTGACTGCATAATCACAAAAGTATGTTTGGAAAGATCATTTTTTGATTGTCCCATAAATAATTTCAAGTAATTTAGACTAATAAAACTGTTGATCTCTATATTTTATAGGCTGGACCTGGTACAATTGCAGAGGCATTGATCAGGGGGCTTCCTATTATCCTCAATGACTACATACCGGGACAAGTATGTGATAATTTTTTGTACATATGAAATTGCTTTTACGAACACAATTAAGTATAGTATCCAGTTCCAAGCTCATCACTAACTCTTTTCATATGGCAACACAGGAAAAGGGCAATGTACCGTATGTAGTAGACAATGGGGCTGGTGTTTTCACCAGAAGTCCAAAGGAAACAGCTAAACTGGTGGCAGAATGGTTCAGCACCAAGACAGATGAACTCAAGAGAATGTCACAGAATTCACTTAAACTTGCACAACCGGAGGCAGTATTCAACATTGTAAAGGACATTCACGAACTCGCCGGGCAACGAGGGCCTCTAGTCAGCGTACCTTATGTGTTGACATCTTCATTTACAAGCTTAATCTAATTTTTAACCATGTTTAGCTGCAAAGCAGTACTGTATACTCTATTTTGCAGAGGAAGAAAATGGTTTCTGTTAAGTAAAATTCACATCAACTGTATCGTAGCAAAAGCACTTGTGGACATAAGCAAATAATAAGAAATAAGAGGGCAAAAATCAAAAGCACTTAAAAAGCTTCTAACAAAAGCTAAAATTCAACTTTCACTATGCAAACATAAGCAAGATGAAGATTCGAATCTACTTCTCGGAACATTCTAACACAAAATGCGAATCAAACGGCTTATATACATTAAATTCCACTAACCTTTACAAAATTCCAAGCATAATTCCAGTTTCCAACAAACCTTAATAATACCACCTCTCGCCAATTAAGCCTCACAACTCACCTCCTTCTGTCTCTTTTCTCCCGCAAAACACCACTTCAACCATTACTCTCCGCCGGAAAAATCCAATTTTCCAGTGGTGGCAACATAACTTAACTGTTATTTTCATCTGGGTTCTCTTCCTTTTTGTACTTTATAGGGTAGAAAAACAAGTTTTAGTACCGTGATGACGGTGGCAACGCCGAAGAAGGCTGCTTCGATTACAGAAAAGGTGTGGAAGAAAGTCTACGGGAATTATAGCGCCAGCAGTGGTGGCGCGAATCATCATAATAAGTGGTGTTCATATGAAAGTGAGGTTGATTTTTATGAAGATGATGATGAGACCACCATGGAGCTCATGCAGATTGGTGCTGAAAGGACTAAAAATGTGTTGATTCTTATGAGTGATACCGGTGGAGGTCATCGAGCTTCCGCTGAAGCCATTCGTGACGCTTTCAAAATTGAGTTTGGCGATGAATACCGGGTAAATTTTTTTTCTTGATTTTCTTCTTCCTGATGTCTCTGCTCTTTATTTTTTCTTGGTTTGAAGGTCTTGGGTATTGTTAAAGAAAAGCCAATTCTATACTGAATATGTGAAGAGTATGCCATTTATTCATTCATTTCTTCTAGTTTTCTTGGCTTAACGTTCAAGATATTTTACTTTTTTTATTGTTTCTTGTGGAGCTTGGAGGAATTTGTCAGTTAAATTATTTTATTTCAAGATCTTCCAATTGTGATTGGCATAGTGTTGTTTCAGATAATTGTGAAGGATGTGTGGAAAGAATACGCGGGGTGGCCATTGAACGACATGGAGAGATCATACAAATTCATGGTGAAACATGGACAGTTGTGGAAGGTAGCATTTCACAGCACCTCTCCTAGATGGATTCACAGCTGGTATCTTGCCGCTATGGCTGCCTACTATGCCAAGTATGTTTTCCTTTCAAGAACAATTTTTTTTTTTTTTCTTTTTTTTTCTTTTTTTTTTTTTTTACCTTTGGAAAATTTTATTGCTAATTGCAGATTATTAACTGTTTGCTGTCTGTTTGAAGATTCTTTTAATAGTTTAGTATTATATGTCTTGATATTTTAATTTTTTAACCAACCTGTATTAGAATATGAATCTTGCAATTGAATATTGGAAGCTTTCATGACTTAATTAAACATTGTTTCTCCACTTTAACCTTTTGTATTTGTCTTCTTTCATGGCAATGCTTCTTTATTATCCACTTGAAACTTTTGACCAACTGTGCAAGAATTGTTGTTTGCAAAGATGAACTATTACATAGGCTGAATGTTTGAGTATGTAAAATCTACTCTAATTTAGTGCGGAGGAAGCATCTAAACTTTGTTTTATTGCATGATTGAAGGGAGGTGGAGGTTGGTTTAATGGAGTACAAGCCGGACGTTATCATAAGTGTTCATCCTTTGATGCAACATATCCCTCTGCGGGTTCTTAAATGGCAAGGTCTACAGAAGAAAGTGATTTTTGTCACAGTTATTACAGACCTTAATACCTGCCACCCGACATGGTTAGTTATTGAAGCCATGTCCGATTTTCTTCTGTCCATAAATAATAGCATGCCCTATATGTTGACATTGAGTTTGGTGTCAGGTTTCATCCCGGGGTCGATAGATGCTACTGCCCATCACAGGAGGTAGCAAAGAGGGCTTTATTGGATGGCCTAGAAGAGACTCAAATTTCTGTTTTTGGCTTGCCCATTCGACCTTCTTTCGCCCGTGCAGTTCTTTCCAAGGTGGTTGATTCTCATTTACATTCATTCTTTTGCTTTATAGAAGATAGCTGTTATGTATTCTTGCTTAGATGAAATCTAGTTCTAATTTATTTTATTTCGTTCTTTGATTGATTCCTTAGGATGATTTACGACAAGAACTTGAAATGGACTCTAACTTGCCAGCAGTACTACTGATGGGAGGTGGCGAAGGGATGGGTCCTGTCAGGAAAACTGCAAGGGCTCTGGGAGAATCTCTGTTTGATAAAGAAAGCGGGAAACCAATGGGGCAGTTGATTATCATCTGTGGCCGTAATAAAACTCTTGCCTCTTCACTGCAATCTGACGAATGGATGATCCCTGTTAAGGTAATTGCTTTTCTAGTTGAATCTATCAGATGCAAGACATATAACACTTACATTGCATAGACATTCAACATTCTTTTTTATCGTTGCAGGTTAGAGGGTTCGAGACACAGATGGAGAAATGGATGGGCGCTGTTGACTGCATAATCACAAAAGTATGTTTGGAAAGATCATTTTTTGATAGTCCCATAAATAATTTCAAGTAATTTAGACTAATAAAACTGTTGATCTCTATATTTTATAGGCTGGACCTGGTACAATTGCAGAGGCATTGATCAGGGGGCTTCCTATTATCCTCAATGACTACATACCGGGACAAGTATGTGATAATTTTTTGTACATATGAAATTGCTTTTACGAACACAATTAAGTATAGTATCCAGTTCCAAGCTCATCACTAACTCTTTTCATATGGCAACACAGGAAAAGGGCAATGTACCGTATGTAGTAGACAATGGGGCTGGTGTTTTCACCAGAAGTCCAAAGGAAACAGCTAAACTGGTGGCAGAATGGTTCAGCACCAAGACAGATGAACTCAAGAGAATGTCAGAGAATTCACTTAAACTTGCACAACCGGAGGCAGTATTCAACATTGTAAAGGACATTCACGAACTCGCCGGCCAACGAGGGCCTCTAGTCAGCGTACCTTATATGTTGACATCTTCATTTACAAGCTTAATCTAAGAAAAACCCCCATTTGACTAAAACCAACCTCTCTACGTTAGCATCATGTCAAGAAGAAGATTTATTTAAAAACAACAATGTCCAACTGGCTTCTCTTCCACACTCAAGATGGAGGTTTTTTGGACACCCTTGAGGTCTAGTTGGATTAAAGAAATCCCATAGGTTTTGGAATACAACACTTACACCCTTGTAATTAATAGACATTTGTGAAAAGTTATTCTGACACAGAATCTTGGGTGCAATGACTAATATATCCTTATTTTGTCTTTTATCCTGCAATAAAAAACGAGTGATATCTAATATTTTTACATTGTTAAAACATTAAATATATTAAATGATTAAAAAATAGAGTAATATTATACTTATAACTAAGTCATATAATCAAGCAAAAAAACTAAAAATAGGGTAGTTATTTTATGTAAATTTTGTGTAAATTTTAATTTAGTTGTATGACTCAGTTATAAGTAAAACATTATTGTAAAAAATATTAAACTTTGACACTTTGATGAAAAATTTGGAAAACAAAAAGCTTGTATTTTTTTATTTCGTTGTCTATTTTACTCTCGTGATATTTACCTTTCACGAATGTTGATCAATTATAAGGATGTGTGCTCTATTCCAAAACTTGTGGGTCTTTTTTTCTTTCACTAAACCTCGGGGTCGGGGGTGTAAATAGAGATGGGACAAATGGGCTGGATTAGGAGGGTCAACTCTAACCCGACCCATGTATACTCTGCCGGGTGGGCTGGGCTTCATAGGCCAATCCGACAACCCGATAGATTATATATATATATATATATATTTTTTTTTTTTTAAACCCGTCCAACCCGTAGGTTGGACAAAAAAAATTAAATTAATTTTTTTTGTAAATACCTATTTTATCCTTGAAATATAGTCGTTTTATGGTAATTGGAATAGTCTTTTTGGTCATTTTCTTTTTCCCTTTTTTTTTTTTTCTATAAATAGGGCCTAAACTCTCATATTTCCTCACATCCCAAATTCTCTCATTATCTCATTTTCTCTATTGAAATCTCTCAATTATTCTCATTGTTGTCAATTTGCTCTCATTTTAATTTTTATTAGTTTTTACAATTTTCAATTCATATTTCCAAATTCCAATTCTCGTTCTTTAATTCTTTATTTCTTCTATATCTTTTTTTTTTTTTTTTTTTAAAAACTATAATAGATAGATATTTCCATCCCATCAATTTCGATGATGAAAGAAATTATCCTAATCCCCCTGAATTTACTAATGTAAATGTAGTAGATTCAAATAGTCTCGCTATCCCATTCTTAGAATCTGATACACCTCATAATATTCCCCCTCTTCCTTCCTATGCTACTACAGCTCCCGATGGTTCTAGAAGTCGTCCTTGAAATCGTCTTCCTCATCCAACTCCATCTCAATCAGAAGCGGGTTCATCAACTGCAGTCAAAATCGACGACAAGCACACATCAGACGTTAGGGTGCATTTCGATAAGTTTTACAAGACAGAAAATAAAGTTCAAGTGAAGAAAGTAAGATGCAAGTATTGTAGAAATATTTATAAAACTGATACAGGTAATGATACTAGTACTTTAAAAAGACATACTAATAAACATATTACTCAACATGGAAATAGAGAAACAAATCAAACTCAAATAACTGATATGGGTACTACTTGCCATTATAATTCTGATGTATATAAGGAAACAATTAGCTTTATATATTGTTGTAATTGATCAACGACCTATTAATATGGTTGAAGATAAATATTTTGAAAGATTTATTAAAAATTCATTTTTTCTAGGATTTAAAAGTTATTTTAAAACTACAATTAAAAATGATTTAATAAAATTGTTTGAGAAAATGAAATTAGAATTAAAAAATAAAATATATAGTTGTCATGTTAGTGTGGCTCTAACCGCCGATATTTGGAGTGGTAGAGCTAAACAAGCTTATATTTGTGTGACTAGTCATTATTTTGATAACAAATGTAAATTAAATAAATCTTTATTGGGATTTAGATTAATGGATGTGAATATAGTGATCAACAAATTTATAATAAAATTGTTAAAGTTTTAGAAGATTATGATATTGTTCACAAAATGATAAGTTTAACTTTAGATAATGCAAGTGCTAATATTAAAGCTATAGATTTTTTTCAAATAAATTTTCCTTTTTATGACAATTTGAAGTTTTTTCACTAACCTTGTGCATGTCACATTATCAATTTAGTTGTGAAAAGTGGTATGAAAAAAATTAGAAATAATATTGATAGAATTAGGGATTTTTTAGCTTGGATTACTAGTAGTAATAGAAGAAATGTTGAATTTCAAGATGCTTGTATAAAATTAAATATGTCTTTTAGAACTTTTGCATTAGACATGCCTGTTACATGGAATATTACTTATTTAATGTTTGATTCATGTTTATCTTATGCAAATTTAATTAGTTATTTTGTAGCAAATAATATGGGTCCTCATTATTTGATAAACAGTGATTGACATATAGCTCAAAAATTTCATTCTTTTCTTAAATTTTTTTATCAATCCACCTTACAACTTTCTGGTGTGTATTATCCTATTAGTCCATTGGTAATACATACAATTATAAAAATTTCAGATTTATTTAAAAAAAACAGAAACAATGAAATTTTAGCGGGACCAATAGAGCCAATGGAATTAAAATTTAAAAAATATTGGAAACTCATTCATTTTCTTTATTGTTTAGCTACCATATTTGATCATAGAATTAAATTAGTGCGTTTAGAAAATTGTTTAGACACGAGACAAAGCATATGCCAATCAACTATGAGAGATAAGAGAGTGTCTTGCAAAGATATATTTGCAATATGAAAACAAGTATGGGAACCAGCGACGAGGCGCAAGGAAAATCAGAAAATTATTGAAGTCCTCACATGTCTTCGAGATTGGGAATGGTCGCGCCATCAGGATCAATACGAGGTTGTCGACGATACTTTAATATAATTATTTCAATTTTATAATATAGATGATATAGACGAGGGAGGTCCTAGTCAACCCCTAAATAAGTTGTTTTGTAAATTGTAACTTTGTAATTTGTAAATTAATTGTCAATTATTGCATTCTTTTTTTCTTACCAAGTTTTTGTCCCAATTAAGTTTTCTTGGTAAGGTTTTTAACGAGGCAATAATTGTTGTAATTTCTTATTTCTTATTTTATTTTTTGATAAATGAATAAATATAATTTTTCTTATATTATAATTTAATTGTATTAAAATTGAATTAATATTTGAAATTTTAACAAAAAAATTAATTTAATTGAATTATTGATATTTGAAAAATTAACTAAAAAAATAAAAAAAAATTCGGTCCAACCCGACCTGACCTGCACCAAAACCTGCCGGGTTAGGGTTAATGGGTCGGGTTAGACCAACTCTTCTGATCAATAGGTGGGCCTAACCCGACCCACCACCAAGGGCGATCCGCCATTTTGCTTAATAGTCGGGCCCGACTGGTTAAAAAGTCCCCCAAAGATGGTTGATGTGACACAAGTCATGTGAAAAATGGACCCCACTTGTTATTAATTTAGAAACTTTATGATGTAATTGAGAGGACAGTTCCAAGTTAAATATATTTGATGTTTAACTTGTATAACACGGTTCCAATACGTTACAAACATCAAACATGTGTTCGTTAATGAATGAGTTAAAATTGAGGAAATAGCCATAATGAAGCCAAAGCTATATTGGATTGGCAGTGTGTAGATCCTTATTGTCAACTACTCCTAGGTTGATACCAACAAATAACTAACTAGAGTGCCAACTGCCAACCATTAAGACTCCCTAAGGACGTTGAGTTGTCATGTCAACAATGATAATTAAATAAGAAATCCATGTAAATAAAACAAATATTAAATTGTATGGGCAATTAGCAAAATAATCATATATTGAGGGGATTTTAGAAAGTTACCTATCCAAAAATTTATTGTGTTATCTAATTGTATTTCCATTCAAATGAATCAACAATTAGATATCTCACTTTAATTTAATTTTAAAGATGGAGTTTATTGTTATTATTTTTTTATCAGGGTGTTCAGGTATATTTACATGCATCTCAACTAATCTTTCAGGGTCCTAAAGTTAACGCTCGGGTAAACTTTCAGAAGCCACCCCTATTAGCAACTGAGGTGGATCGAACTCAAGATCTCTTGAATAATACACTTAAAAGTCCTAGTTGACCACTCGACCACCCAATGGTAGTTTAAAGTTATTTACTTATTCCAAATGAAATGCTTTTGAAGGATCTACATTAATAAATTTAAAAAACTAACCTTTCATTTACCCTTTTTTTATATTTTTAACACAAAATTAGCATATTGATTCATGAAAACCAAAGACTTTATTGAAAGTTTATAAACATAATTAATTTCAAAATTATATTAATGTGTGTGCTTAGAAAAGGGGACAAGTATTATAAGCTACCCTCATAGTACTCAATAGTTTTGCAAATTATTAGGCAGAGGGTGAGTTGATATTTCTTTTGTAATAATAATAAAATAAAATAAAGGGTTCCGCTATTGTATATTAATGTTTTAGAATTGTATCAATAACTACCGTTAACCCTAATTTCGTTACTTGAGAGTTATTAAAAGAGGGTTAAAATGGACATTTTAGCTAAGTAAGTAAACAAGAATAAAATAAACATAAGAAAAATATCACTGACTTCCTCTATAACATTTTCCTTATATCAAGTATTTTTATGTTTAATTTATGCTAAAATATTTAAATTAAAAACTCAAACTTTATAATCTAAAAATAAAACAATTTTTTTTTTCTTTGTTTGCTTCTGAAATAAATAACTAAAACACTTTTTTTCATGTTTTTCTTGCAACAACAAAAGCTTTTGTGAGAAGGTGCGAGAGTTATGGTCATTGATCTTTTTATTTGATTATTTTTATTTTTTGAACAGTCCTACTCATAATTAACTCAAACAAAATAAATCTAACATATAAACAAATCAAAAAATCAAAAAATAAAA